GACAGTCTTACGGGTTTGAAACGACATGAGGGTGAGTAATTAATGACAGAATTTTAATTTTTGGGTGAACTAACCCTTTAAGAGCCCTCACTTTTGAGCCACTACAGTCAACCGACCTTCGGCTCCTGTCACTGAAAACCGCTCTGCTATTGGCTTTAGCAGCGGTCAAGCGAGTGGGAGACTTGCAGGCGCTCTCTGTGAGCCCTTCCTGCCTTGAGTTCGGGCCCAGCGACTCTAAGGTCGTCCTGGAACCAAGGCATAGTTATATACCTAAAGTGCTCTCCACTCCATTCAGAGCACAGGTCATTACACTGTGTTTGGCTGACTCGCCAGAATTGCTTTACTTCTTGTACGCTCTCGGCCCTCCCTAGGTGCCGAGGCTGTGCGAGTTTTTCTTGGAACGATTACCCAGGCCGGGCGTGACCTCTGTGAGTTTGGCCCGTTGCCACCTGAAGGGCTTACCCTATTATACTTGTCCCTCTGAGCCCCTTGGGTGTTTAAGGAAAGTTCACATATCAGTCGTTCCTCTCCATAGCATGACATGATTGTACTGGTTCCCATAGCATCTAGCGACGCAGTACGAGTGAACCTCGGTTCCCTGAGATACGGGAACGAGTCCTGCATTGCTAGCCATGCTATGGAGCTGCATGACTCAGTGTCGTCGCTTCAGTCGAAGTAACGTGAGGATCCTATGCCAGAATGCCTACTTATATCACCAGATGGCCCTGCCCATATTGGCGGGCTTCGTGGCCATAGGCTCGTGCAGCTCCGCTGACTCGCCATTTGTTTGTTTTTTATCTCACTGCACGAACCAATGGCCGTGCAGTTACACTGCGTTATTAAAAAAAGGCTTCAGTATTGGAGAAAAAAGGACTTTTCCCCATAGAGTCTAGCGACGCAGTACTCGTTCCCGTATCTCAGGGAACCATTTGCAGCTTTAGCTATATGGAGTATACACGAGACTAGGTAATGATCCAAGATATCATCACTCTGCTGCAGAATTTCAATGCCATTAACGTCAATTCCATGTGACAGTATTAAATCTAAAGTTTGATCCTGTCAAATCCCATCATAAACTTGTACATCACGCTCAAGAACCTTCTCTCAAAAATGATTCAATATGGCATTCTGGTCTGGAAACTTTGCTACTCAATGTAAGTTATCAACCAGAGATATGGTAAGGATTGTATGGTAAGATTCACCAGGATGCTGGAATCTCTTAAAAAATCAGCCAGTGAGTCCAGAAATGTCTGAAAATTGCCATAAGGCACAGGAGACGTCCCCTCAATTCTTAAATAATATTGGGTCATTTGCACTTATCCGAGTTAGTGCTGGCTGCAGATAAAGTTTTAATTGTTGGTGATTTTAATACATGTTGATAATGAAAAAGATGCATTGGGATCAGCATTCATAGACATTCTGAACTCTATTGGGGTTAGACAACACGTGTCAGGACCTACTCATTGTCGAAATCATACTCTAGATTTAATAGTGTCACATGGAATTGATGTTGATGGTGTTGAAATTATGCAGCCAATTGATGATATCTCAGATCATTATCTAGTCTTGTGCAAACTTCATATAGCTAAAACTGTAAATTCTACTCCTTGTTACAAGTATGGTAGAACCATCACTTCTACCACAAAAGACTGCTTTGTAAGTAATCTTTCTGATTTATCTCAATTCCTCAGCATATCCAATACCTCAGAACAACTTGATGATGTAACAGAAACTATGGCTTCTAGCCATTTAAGGAAGATTAAGGAAAACAGACTGACACCGTGGTATAATGAGCATACTCGCACCCTAAAGAGAGCAGCCCGGAAAATGGAGCGCAGCTGGAGGAAAACAACTAGAGGTATTTCGTATTGCTTGGCGGGAAAGTAACCAATCCTACTAAAAGCATTAAAAACTGCTAGATCTGATGACTTTTCGTCTCTCTTAGAAGAAAAGAAACATAACCCCAGGTATTTATTCAATACAGTTGGCTAAATTAACGAAAA